CCTTACCAAGCGCTCAGTCTCTGCCATCCCGCTCTGCCAATCCCTCCACTGCCTTCCAATTGCCAAAACACTACAACAACAATCATGTCATTCACAACTCTGCCCCCAGCTACATCACCAACCTCATGTCAAAATGCCAACCAAATCATCCTCTCTGCTCCTCCCAAGACCTCTTGCTCTCTAGCTCCCTCATAGCCTCCTCCCATACTCACCATCAGGACTTCTTCAGAGTCTCTCTCATCCTCTGGAACTCCCTACCCCAATCTGTTCGACTATCTCCTATTCTTGTCCACTTTAGGTGATTCCTGAAAACTCTTCAGAGAAGCCTATCCTGTCCCAAACTAACAGATCCCCCATGACACCAAGATTCTTCCTGGCACCGAGAGCCCCCATGACACCAAGATCCTTCATAGCACCGAGATCCTCCATTGCACTCAGATCCTCCATGACACTGAGATCCATGGTGCTGAGATCCCCCATGACACCAAGATCCTTCTTGGCACTGAGATCCCCCATGACACTGAGATCTTCCATGGTGCCAAGATTCCCCATGACACCGAGATTCTCCATGGCACTGAGGTCCTCCGTGACACTGAGAGCTTCCATGGTGCAGAGATCCTCCATGTTGCCGAGATCCCCCATGACACCAAGATATTTCCTGGCACCGAGATCCCCCATGACACCAAGATCCTTCCTGGCACAGAGATCCCCCATGACACCAAGATCCTTCTTGGCACCGAGATCCCCCATGACACCAAGATCCTTCGTGGCACTGAGATCCTCCGTGGCACTGAGATCCTTCATAACACCAAGATCTTCCATGGTGCTGAGATCCCCCATGACACCAAGATCCTGTGTGGAACCGAGATCCTCCATGGCACTGAGATCCTCCATGGCACTGAGATCCTTCATAGCACTGAGATCTTCCATGGTGCCTAGATCCCGCATGACACCAAGATCCTCAATGGCACCGAGATCCCACATGACACCAAGATCCTTCGTAGCACTGAGATCCTTCATGGCACTGAACTCCTCCATGACACTGAGATGTTCCATGGTGACGAGATCACACATGACACCAAGATCCTCCTTGACACCGAGATCTTCCATGGTGCCGAGATCCCCCATGACACCAAGATCCTCAATGGCACCGAGATCCTTCATGGCACCAAGATCCTCCATTGCACAGAGATCCTCCATGACACTGAGATCTTCCATGGTGCCAAGATCCCCCATGACACCGAGATCCTCCATGGCACTGAGATCTTCCATGGTGCCGAAATCCTCCATGACACTGAGATCCTCAATGGCACTGAGATCCTCCATGGCACCGAGATCCTTTGTGGCACTGAGATCCTCCATGGCACTGAACTCCTCCATGACCCTGAGATCTTCCATGGTGCCGAGATCCCACATGACACCAAGATCCTCCATGACACTGAGATCTTCCATGGGGCCGAGATCACCCATGACACAAAGTTCCTTTGTGGCACCGAGATCCTCCATGACACTGAGATTCCTCCATGGCGCTGAGATCCTCCATGACACAGATCTTTCATGGTGTCGATATCCTCCATGACACCGAGATCTTCCATGGTGCCGAGATCCCCCATGACACCAAGATTCTTCATGGCACCGAGATCCTCCATGACACTGAGATCCTCCATGACACCAAGATTCTTTGTGGCACCAAGATCCTCCATGGTGTTGAGATCCTCAATGACACCGAGATCTTCCATTGTGCCGAGATCCCCCATGACACCAAAATCCTTCATGGCACCGAGATCCTCCATGACACCAAGATCCTCCATGACACAGATCTTTCATGGTGCAGAGATCCTCCATGAAAGTGAGATCCTCCGCGGTGCCGAGATCCTCCATGACACAGATCTTTCATGGTGCCGAGATCCTCCATGACAGTGAGATCCTCCATGGTGCCGAGATCCTCCATGACACATTCTCCATGGTGCCGAGATATAGGATTGCCACCTCATCCCTTTAAACCCGAACACATATTAATGACACGGGTTCCGGGGCTGACTTAATGCAGATAAGGCATCAAGTGAGTTTAATTCCCACCTTCATCAGCCCCAGAACCTGTGTCATAAATATGTGTTCGGGTCAAAAGGAATGAGGTGGCTGTCCTACCTAGATCCCTCATGACACGAATGACCACAACTCTCCATTAGAACTCCTCCAGCCGTGAAGACGTCATCCCTACAGTGGTAGATCGTGTTCTCATGGCTTCCCTCACAGGATACATATAGAATACATCCCGAGCAACCATCTCTTTTACTTCTTCAGCTGTTTGCGTTCCACTGTAGCTCAGCGGCTTCCCAGTTGCTATAGTGACGCCTAGTCATTGGACAGTCTTCACGAGGAGGGAGCCCGAGCCACCACTAGAGGGCGTACATCTTCCGCGTGTGAGGGGGTACAGGAAGTGCGGCGGCCATTTTGTTGTAGCCGGAAAAGGTGGAGAGTGGAGCTTTTATAGCTGATAGCTTCCTGCAGGAGAGTGTGGATCTAATCAGGTGGAGGTAATAATGTCTTCTAATTATGAGAGAAGGGGGTCGCAACTATTTTTATAGAATAGACTTTAGGGGTGGAATCCTGTGACTGGTCACATGCCCTATATAAATTCATTGGGAGAAGGAATTGAGAGACTCCTCCTCTTTCCAGCCCTGAGGAAAGCAATGTAACCATGGTGGGGGGTGGGCTGCTGTCTGTGAGCTGTGGCATCATATTATCAATAGCAGATGTTGGGTTAGAGGTGTGTTCCCCCAGGAATGACAGGTTCTCTTCATCTCTTTTGATTGTAGAAAAGCGAATATATCAACTACCACCTGTGCTGCAGAACGATGCAATGATAAATAGGATATGCAGGGGGTGTAGGTTTCACAGTAACCCTTCTGGCAGCGTGGATTTCTAATGTCCCCTGCAACATTCAGTGGTTTCTCCCACAGACCATGACTCACTACAGGACACAACAGGGATGTGGAGGTCAGTGGGAGGAATCACTGAGCGCTGCGGGGGACACAGATCGACACTGCCGGAAGGGTTTGCATACAAACTTCACCTGGAAAACCGTCCTAGTCAAGGAACTGTTCTACAGCAGAAATGGGTACTCACTTTTTTTATTTCCAGGGACAGTCAAAGTGAAGACAAAAACAACGCCTGAAAACTGGTCACTTGATTGAAGATGGAGGAGGAGCAGAGTCACATGACTGAGAGGATATTAAACCTCACCCTGGAGATTATCTACCTGCTGACTGGAGAGGTAAGGAGGATTCTGGGAGGTCACATGACATCACTCTTATCTCTATTAATAAAAATAGACCTGATCGGAGAGGTAAGGAGGATTCTGGGAGGTCACATGATCGGAGACCTGACCAGTAAGGTAAGGGATTCTGGGAGGTCACATGACATCACTCTTATCTCTATTAACCACTTCCAGTCCGGACACTTTTACCCCCTTCCTGTCCAGGCCAATTTCAGCTTTCAGTGCTATCACACTTTGAATGACAATTGCGCGGTCATGCAAACTGTACCCATATGAATTTTTTAGCATTCTTTTGAGACAGATAAAGCTTTATTTTGGTGGTATTTATTCACCACTGGGATTTTTATTTTTTTTTTGCTATATAAATGAAAAATTCCCAAAATTTTGAAAAAAAAGTGTTTTTCTTATAACATTTTGCAAATAAATAATATTTCATCATAAATCTTGGCGAAAATATATTCAGTTATCTAGTAAAAAAAATAACCCAAATTAGTTTATAACCAAAAATTATAATTTTAAAAATTTTTTTTTACATTTTTAATTTTTTTTATATTATTATTTATGTTTGTGGGGTTTTTTTGGGTTTTTTTTACATACTGTACTACTTGTGGGGGGTGATGAAGATTTTTTTTTACACTGATTGCTTTTTACACCCATAAAGGCTGTAAAAGCAATCATTTCTCCTTCTTTCTGGCTGCATTCTTGCAGGCATTGAAAAATACTGTGCAAGCTGTGATTGGTCACAGCTTGTCACATGGTACAGGGCTGTTGTGAATAGCCTTGTATTATGTGATCTCTGTGATCATTCACAGATTTCACACGTAGTAAGCAATGATGTCAGAAGTGACATCTTGCTTACTACTCTGCATGTGATCACTGATTGGCCAATCAGTGATCACATGATCGGGACCTCACACAGAGGTTCCCGTACGACGATCGGTGTTCCACTGTGTCCAGGAAGCGTGCACAAACAGGGGGCGGGGAGGCTGTTTATAAATGGCCAGCCGTCCCTGCACTGCCACCGTCCGGCCGTTTATATACAATGGCCGGACGGGAAGTGGTTAATAAAATACAGACTTGACTGGAGAGGTGAGGAGGACTCTGGGAGGTCACATGACATCGCTCATCTCTAGTAATAAAACACAGACCTGACTGGGAAGGTGAGGAGGATTCTGGGGTCACATGACATCACTCATCTCTATTAATAAAACACAGACCTGACGGAGAGGTGAGGAGGATTCTGGGAGGTCACATGACATCACTCATCTCTATTAATAAAAAACAGTTCTGACCGGAGAGGTGAGGAGGATTCTGGGAGGTCACATGACATCACTCAGCTCTATTAATAAAACACAGACCTGACCGGAGAGGTGAGGAGGATTCTGGGAACTCCTAGTGACAAAAAACGGCATTAATTTATGTTGGGATGTCAATGAATTTCTTTATGTAAAACACAGGAATGCATTATAGTGAAGAAGCCATCTTACGTTCACATGACCCGTGTGTCACAAAGTTGGAGCCGGAAACAGAGCTTAGGAATGGAGACTCCAAATCACTCTTTAATACCTGAAATTAACAGTGATAAGAAGATTCTAGAAGTCACCCAGAAGATCATTGAGCTGCTGACGGGAGAGGTGAGCGGTGCTGGGAATTCTGGGACATTCTCCAGTAACAGACAAGGGATGTGTCTGGATGGTGACTGTATCATTGTGTGTGTCAGGTTCCTATAAGGTGTCAGGATGTCGCTGTCTCATTCAACACAGAAGAAGGGAAGTATTCGGGATGCAATGATCAGCACAAAGAGCCTGCCACATCACTGGGTAAGAGGAGACTTTAATTTCTTGTAATGAGGATTCACCTAGATACACACATCCTCTGATATAAAGACATAGAAACAATGGATTCAGTCAGTGTGTGTGTTTCCTACAGATGGATCCAGTAATTGGGAACCCACCAGAGAGATGTCCCCGTCCTCTGTATTCCCGGGACTCCACACAGAAACATCAGGAGATCCCTCAGGAGGATCAGGTAGATGTAAATGAGAGTCTTAAAGAAAGTAATGAGATGTTTGATTAGTAATCATAATGCAGATAAAGTTGCCAACAATATTAATCTTATACAGAGTGATATCCAGACTTTTAAAGCTGAAGATGAAGCTGAGATGTTTCTGAAGAGTGATGAGATGCTTAAGAGGGAAGAAGTTCCTCCAGAGATCAGCACAGGTGAGTAATAAACACTAAATCCAGAGAAGAGTCCCAGATCCTCCTTGTTCAGTCACTACAACAATCTCTTCTTCTCCCCCCTCCTCTGTCAGTAGACAGTAATGGGGGGACAGTATGTGCCCAGTGGGGGGGTCAGGAGTCATCAGCCTCTATTAGACTCCGCTTCTCCTCCTCACATCATGTCATTGAGACGTGACCAGTCTCCCCCCCACACACACTCTCTGGGGTCTCTCATACATCTCAGTACAGGGGGCTTCAATCTCATCTGTATTCACAGAAACCAGAGAGACTCGGAGAGACGTTAAAGCTGAGGAGGAGGAAGAAGAAGAACATGTGAGGATTAAAGAGGAAGAAATCCCTCCAGAGATCAGCACAGGTGAGGAAAATAAACACTAAATCCAGAGAAGAGTCCCAGATCCTCCTTGTTCAGTCACTAGAACCATCTCTTCTTCTCCCCCCTTCTATTCACAGACCCCGGAGACACCAGAGCCACCCAGAGAGATGTCAAAGCTGAGGAGGAGAAAGAGGGACATGTGAGGATCAAAGAGGAGGAAATTCCTTTTGAGATTGGCACAGGTAGGAGACGCTAACTACAAAAAAAGCTGAACTGTTCAATCTTTTGATTTTGTTGCTGAATTATGAACTTTGAAAAAAAAAAGGACACCTTGTTCATTATGATGCCTATCAAGTTTTTATGTATTTTTTTGTTTTGTTTTTTACTAAGGGCTCATTTACGCTTGCTTTGACTTTAACACACAATAAAGCGCCAGCCACTTCAACATGCTTTTTTGATGTGTTTTGTAAGCTTCTGTCATGCTTTTTTTTTTTTTTTTGAGCTTTAATGAAACTTGGCAAATGCCCTGTGTGTGTTGATTTTCTATTTGTTTTAAAGGGCCCAGTAGAACCCCAACTCAGTAGAATCCCAGCTCATTAGTTCAGCAGTTTCCTAGCTCATTGGTATCCTCATTTAGCAGATCCCCTGCTCAGTAGTACCCCCAGCTCTGCTGATCCCCGCTCAGTAAAAAACCCCCAGCTCTGCTGATCCCCCACTCAGTAAGAACCCCCAGCTCTGCTGATCCCCCGCTCAGTAATAACCCCCAGCTCTGCTGATCCCCCGCTCAGTAATAACCCCCTAGCTCTGCTGATCCCCTGCTCAGTAATAACCCCCAGCTCTGCTGATCCCCCGCTCAGTACGAACCCCCAGCTTTGCTGATCCCCTGCTCAGTAATAACCCCCAGCTTTGCTGATCCCCTGCTCAGTAATAACCCCCAGCTCTGCTGATCCCCTGCTCAGTAATAACCCCCAGCTCTGCCGAACCCCTGCTCAGTTATAACCCACACCTACCGCTATAGCGTTCCCATATTGTACACCACCTGTGCCACATGCTAGTTGCTCTGCTCCAGTCCAGACCCTGCTCACCTTCCTGCTGCTCCATGCTGCACACCAGATGTGATGTCTGCAAAGCAGAGCAATACAAAGCAGCATGTTTCCCTAGTAAAACACACACAGCACACATGTATTTATTATTTATTACATGTACTTATATAGCACCGTCAATTTACGCAGCACTTTACATATATATTGTACATTCACTTCAGTCCCTAACCCTCAAAGGGGTGCACAATCGAAGGTATAGTTAAACAGCACACAGGTAACCCTTTGATTGCCCTTAGATGTTAACCCCTTCCTGCCCAGTGCCATTAGTACAGTGTCCGTGCTTTTTATTAGTACTGATCACTGTATTGGTGTCACTGGAGATGTCAGTGACAATTAGTCAGTCCCCCCTCCAGTGTTTCAGAATGCAGTCCCGCTATAAGTCGCTGATCGCCGCCATTACTAGTATAAAAAAAAATTTTCAAAATCCCAGTATCCCGCCATTTGTAGACGCTATAACTTTCATGTAAACCAATTAATTTACATGTATTGGGATTTTTTTTTTTTAAGCAAAGATATGGAGCAGAATACATTTTGGTGTAAATTTATGACGAAATTTGATTTTTTAAAACATTTTTTACTGGACATGTTTTTATAGCAAAAAGTCAAATATATATATAATTTTTTTTTCAAAATTGTCGGTCTTTTTTTGTTTATAGTACAAAAAATAAAAACCGCAGAGACGATCAAATACCACCAAAAGAAAACTCTATTTGTGGGGGAAAAAAAGGACGTAAATTTCATTTGGGTGCAGCGTTGCATGACCACGCAATTGTCAAAGTAACGCAGTGCCGTAACGCAAAAAATAGCCTGGTCAGGAAGGGGGGTAAATCATCAGGAGGGCAAGTGGTAATTGAATGGTTGTCAATCAGCGGAGAACAGTACACATTAGAGGGGTAACCGAGTGTTGTACAGGCTTCGTTCTTGAAAAAATCGAGTGGTTTTTGACTTTGATATCACATCACAGCATTTAGAGTTTTCTATGGGGAAAGTGCAGTGTGTAGACTGGTGCGGGTTTATTTAGTAAAGCAGCTTAACCAGTTCCCAACCATGCTATAGGACAGCTACAGCGTGGTTGTGGAATCCTGGATGATGTCCATGGATGTCTTTCCTGAACCCACCCCCCTGCGCGCCCCGATTGGTGCGCCGCCGGTGATCGCTGTGTCCTACGGACACAGCTGATCATGGGGTATGGTAAATGGCCAATCACGGCAGCCTTTTACCACGTGATCAGCTGTGTCCAATGACATAGCGATCACCGGGTAAATACAGTTACCGGTTTCTCGGCTGCACTTTCCTCACGAAATTACTGTCGAAAACTGGCAGTTGTCAGCAAAAGGATTGGCACTGATCATTAGGGCACTGATGAAAAGTGCCCAGCAGTGCGGCCCACCTGTGCCCATTAGTGTTACCCAGCTGTGCCCCTCAGCAGTGCCAACCACCTGTGCCCATCAGTGCTGCCCATCAGTGCCATCTATCAGTCTAGCATCATCAGTGCCACCTATCAGTGCCCATCTGTTCTGCCTATCAATGCCACCTATCAGTGCCTCCTATCAGTGCAGCCTCATCAACGCACATCAGTGAAGGAGAAAAATTACCTGTTTGCAAAATTTTGTAATAGAAAGAAAAAACTTTTTTTTTTCAAATTTTTTTGCTCTTTTTTTGTTTATAGAGCAAAAAATAAAAACACCCGGAAGAGATTAAATACCACCAAAAGAGAGCTCTATTTGTGTGAAAAAAATGATAAAAATTTAATATGGGTTCAGTGTTGTATGACCGCGCAATTGTCATTCAAAGTGTGACAGCGCTGAAAATTGGCCTGGACAGGAAGGGGGGGGTAGAAGTGCCCGGTAGGCGAGGGGTTACAGTAGCCTCGTAAAACCTTTTAAAAAATGAAGCCTAGATCTCTAGCTGCTCCCTGGTAATGTAACTGTTATATTAAAAAAAAAAAAAACCTAGAATATTTTAATTGATATAAAAAGTTCCAAAAGTATTTAGAAGCATTCGAATGTCCACAAAAGTCACTTTTTTTTTTTTTGGCAAACAACTTGTCATTCTTGTTTATTGCTCCTTTAAATGTTCCCATTTTTTTTCTCATTTCCTCCAGATGGACAATACATCAAGAATGAAATGGCGAAACATCCTATAAAATGCATCACATCCATTTCTCTGGAAGGAGATCCCAGTACCCTAAATCCCCATTCAATCCTTCCCAGGAATGATGTGTCACCTGATCTTCCTACGCCTGGGGGGAGTATTGCTGATCACTTGCCTCCCATCCCCCATCATACGGATGATGAAAAGTTCCCATGTTATATTTGTGGGAAATTTTTCACCCGGAAGGAAACTCTCACCGTACACCAAAGATCTTACACGGGGGAGAAGCCATGTTCTGTGTGCGGGAAATGTTTTCTGCGGAAATTGTGTTTGATTAATGAAGAAAGAACAGCTACTGGAGAGAAACCATATTCATGTTCAGAGTGCGGGAAATGTTTCAGCCAGAAGTCGAGTCTTAATTACCACCTACGGGTTCACATAGGCGTGAAGCCTTTTTCTTGTTCCTATTGTGATAAATGCTTTACCACAAACGCCCGTCTTCTCCAACATCAAAGAACTCACACGGGGGAGAAGCCGTTTTCCTGTTCAGAATGTGGGAAATTTTTTACTTCGAGTTCAGCTCTTTTCCATCACAAGAGAAGTCACACTGGGGTGAGACCGTATTCCTGTTCAGAGTGTGGGAAATGTTTCACTGAGAGTTCAGCTCTTGTCAAACACCAGAGAACTCACACCGGGGTGAAGCCGTATTCATGCTCGGAGTGCGGGAAATGCTTTACTTCACATTCGGGTCTTGTTAATCACATGAGAACTCACACGGGGGAGAAGCCGTATTCCTGTTCAGAATGCGGGAAATGTTTCACTGCACCATCAGCTCTTTTTTATCACCAGAGGACTCACACGGAGAAAAGCCGTATTCATGTTCGGAGTGTGGGAAAAGCTTTACTGAGAGCTCGGCTCTTGTTAATCACCAGAGAACTCACACGGGGGAAAAGCCATATTCATGTTCGGAGTGCGGGAAATGTTTTACTACAAGTTCAGCTCTTGTGGATCACAAGAGGATTCACACGGGGGAGAAGCCCTATTCCTGTTCAGAGTGCGGGAAAAGTTTTACTATGCGCTCAGCCTATGTTTATCACAGGAAAACTCACATGGGGCAGAAGCCGCATTCATGTGAACAGTGCGGGAAAAGTTTTTCAGAGAAAAAAAATCTCCTTTTACATCAGAGAAATCACACTGGGCAGAAGCCATATTTTTCATAATACAAAATTATAGAAATGTTTTCTTCCTTGGGGCGGGGGGTTACTTACTTACTACAATTGCATGGTGCAAAATCTGGTGCAGCTTTGTGCTAAAGATAGCAATAATGTGAATGAATATACCCGAAAAGCACAATCTAATATAAATAGAAAACCATGTACAGAAATTTGTGCCAATGCAATAATTCAAAAGTGAAACAAATCGTGTCCAAAAGTGTCGTCCAGAAACCGAAGAACAACTCCTTAAATGTGCAAAATGGAATTTCTTCCTTCTCCAACTGAAATGGTGCCAATGGTAGCAACAGTGTCCACCATCACCAAAAGTGAAGTCCAAATATGGGCTTACCAGATCACTATGACCCCCTTACCCCTGGTTCACATATATGCGGCCACGTGAGCCCATTCATTTGAATGGACTTCTATGCCCCAGGACACGCAGGGAAGAATTTCCTGCACTTCTGAAAATGCAATCCGAATGGGAACCGAGGTTCCCAATATGGTTGCATTTTCCAGTGCGGGCGGCGTGCCATTAGATTTAATGGCACCCACCCCCAGGTCCACATTCCTCTGTGGGGTTGGTGCGGCTGCACGGATTTTCATGCAGATCGGCAGCGGCACCACCCGCACA